CTGCGCTGCTGCAGCTTTGCTGCTGCGCTGCTGCAGCTCACTCTTGCTGCTGCTGCTGCAGCTTTTCGCTCTCCCCCAAAAGCGCCTCAAGCCGATCCCTTAGCTGCGCCCACACAAACCCGCAAGCTGCTGCTGCTGCTGCTGCTGCTGCTGCCAAGCCTTTGTTGTTGTTGCTGCTGCTGCTGCTGCTGCTGGGCGTTCCTCGTTGTTGTTACTGCTGCTGCTGCTGCTGCTAGGCGTTTGCTGCTACGACTACTGCTGCTGCCAGGTGCTGCCACTGCTGCTCTTGCTGCGGTCAGACGTTTGCCGCTGCTGCTGCTGCTGTTGCTGCCGCTGCTGCTGCTGCTGCTGCTGCTGCTGAATATGTAGTTTACCTGTTGTGCCTCTGCTTCACTTTCCTGCTGCTGCTGCTCCAGCTGCAGCTGTTGCTGCAGCGCTTCTGCTTCTGCTTCTGCTGCCTCAGCTGAAGCCCTGCAGCAGCAGCAGCAGCAGCAGCAGCAGCAGCAGCAGCACGTAGGATATAACTAATTGTCAAATTTAATTTAAATAAACAAATGATTATTATTTTAATAATAAATAAATTAAATTAAAATTAAAATTAAAAATATAATGAAAGTCTCACGTCTTTATGTGGGCTTTTGCTGCTGCTTCAGCAGCAAGCAGCAATTCAATTTGCTGCTGCGTCTCTCTTTGCTGCTGCTCCAGCAGCCTGCAGCAGCAGCAAACAGCAGCAGCCCCCAAATTAATTAATTAATTAATAACATTCACTTTATTTATTTATTTATTATTTATTTATTTATAACTTAATAACAAACTAATTAAAATGAATTGATTAAATTTACTTTGAGTAGTTTTTCTAGTTTGCAGGAAGCAGCAGCAGCAGCAGCAGCAGCAGCAGCAGCAAATGCAGCAGCGGTGGGAGCCGCAGCAGCAGCAGGCCAAACAGAAGACACGCCGAGGGACCGTAAGGAGCAGCAGCAACGCAGGAAGCAGCAGCAGCAGAAGCAGCAGCAGAAGCAGCAGCAGGAACAGTAGCAAAGGCAGCAGCAGCAGCAGTAGCAGCAGCAGCAGTAGCAGCAGCAGCAGCAGCAGCAGTAGCAGCAGCAGCAGCAAGAAGCGGTGACTGACATCCGCCGCTGCTGCAGATCAGCAAGTGCTTCTTCTTCTTGCTGCATTATTGTGTCTACGCGCTCCTTTGCTGCTGCTGCTGCTGCTGCTGCTGCTGCTGCTGCTTCTTGGCGAGCAGGCGCATCCTCTTCTAGCTGCTGCAGCCGCTGCAAAAGCAGCAGCAGGAACAGCAGCAGCAGCCACAGCAGCAGCAGCAGCCACAGCAGCAGCAGCAGCCACAGCAGCAGCAGCAGCAACATGGAGGTGGAAGCACATCTTGAATGCAGGAAAGTCTAAAGCGGCAGCATCCTCGAAGCGCTGCTGCTGCTGCTGCTGCTGCTGCTGCTGCTGCTGCTGCTGCTGCTGCATACCTGCTGCGCCTGCTGTCGCAGCTGCTCGTGCATCTCAGCTTGCTGCTGCATCTGCTGCTCCATTTGCTGCTGCAGCGTGTCTCTCTCGTTTGTCGCTTGCTGCTGCATCTGCTGCAGCTGCTGCAGCAAGTCCCCAGCGGTGGTTGCGAGCTGCTGCAGCAGCTGCTGCTGCTGCTGCTTCAGATGCAGAGACCGCAGCTGCACGGCTGCTAGCTGCAGCAGCAGCACCAGCAGCATCAACAGCAACAACAGTAATAGCAGCAGCAGCAGCAGCAGCAGCAGCAGCAGCAACAGCAGCAGCAGCAGCTCCTCTGAATAGTTGCGTTGTGGGGAAGATACCACACTGCAGCAGCAGCAGCAAGAGCAGCAGCAAGAGCAGCAGCAAGCAGCAGCAAGTGTTGCACACCTCGTCAGCCGTTTTCTGGAGGCCTTCATCAGCTGCAGCAGCAGCAGCAAAGTCTTCTGCTTCCACTGCTGCTTCCTGCTGCTGCAGCAGCTGCTGCTGCTGCTGCTGCAGCGCAGCAGCATCCTGTAGAGCCCGCAAAGACAGCAGCAGCACGCAGCAGCATCACAACCAGCAGCAGCAACAGCAGCAAATGCAGCAGCAGCACAGAAGCAAAACCGCAACCGTCTCAGCAGCAGCAGCAGCAGCAGCAGCAGCAGCAGCAGCAGCAGCAGCAGCAGCAGCACACCTGTTCTGCTTGGGCCTCCAGCTTCGCAGCCTCAAGCAGCTGATTATATATTTCAGTTTGCTGCTGCAGCGCGCTGCTGCGGCAGATGAAGTAAAAGCCTTCCAGCTCGCTTGCTGCTGCTGCTGCGCCTCCTGCTGCTGCTGCTGCTGCTGCTGCTGCGCCTCCTGCTGCTGCTGCTGCTGCTGCTGCTGCTGCACCTCTGCCTCCACTCACACCAGAAGCACCCAAAAACGAAAACTCTGAAGAACCCCCAATGCCTTCAAAAGCATCAATGGGGGGCCCCCGGGGGGCCCCCTGGGGGCCCCCCTGGGGGCCCCCTGGGGGGCCCCCCGGGGGGCCCCCCTGAGGGGCCCCCTGGGGGGCCCCCTGGGGGGCCCCCATATCAGGGGCCCCCTGGGGGGCCCCCAAGTGCGGGGTGTCCTTTGGGGGGCCCCCAAAGGAGGCCCTGGGGGGCCCCTGGGGCTGCTGAGGGAGGGGGGCCCCTGCTGCAGCGCATGCAGAGGGGGAAGGAGGCACTAATGGGGTTGCTGCAGCAGGGTACTGCTGCTGCTGCTGCTGCTGTTGCTGCTGCTGCGGCTGCTGCTGCTGCGGCTGCTGCTGCTGCTGCAGTGTTAGGTGGGTATACGGCTGCGCGTCGTCGTGGGGCCGTTGCTGCAGTCCGTGCTGCATTTGCTGCTGCAGCAGCTGCTGCTGCTGCTCGTGATAGTACTGGCTCATCTGCTGCTGCTGCTGCAGCTGCTGCTGCTGCAGCAGCTGCTGCTGCTGCTGCTGCTGCAGCTGCTGCTGCTGCTGCTGCTGCTGCTGCTGCCACCCAGCAATCCCAGGCAGCACAGACTTCTTGGGCTTTCTTTGGATTTTAGATGGCTGCAGAAATGCTGCAGCAGGGGCCCCCCTCGGGTTGTGGGGCCCCACAGCAGCAGCTGCTTCAGCAGCAGCAGCAGCAGCAAACAGAGACTCTGGAAGAGTCTCCAGGCAGGTCGGGGCCCCCTGGGGGGCCCCCTGGGGGGCCCCCTGGGGGGCCCCCAGGGGGGCCCCCTGGGGGCCCCCCAGGGGGCCCCTTGAGGCAGCAGAATGCGCGTGCTGCAGCAGCTCAAAGGCATCTTCGCCGCTGCCTGCTGCTGCTGCTGCTGCTGCTGCTGCTGCTGCTGCTGCAGGCAGGCTGTGCTGCGGCATAGCTGAAGAGGGCCCTAGAGAAGTTCCCCAGGACTGCTGTGCTGCTGCTGCCTGTGGATACTGCTGCTGCTGCTGCTGCTGCAGCTGCTGCTGCTGGTGCTGCTGCTGCTGCGGCTGCTGCAGCTGCTGCTGGTAGTAGTAGTGTTGCTGCGGCTGCTGCTGCTGCTGCTGCTGCTGAAAGAGTCTCCCGAACTGCCCGGGGGGGCCCCCAGAGGCCTCAGCATGGGGGCCCCCCACCTGGGGGGCCCCCATAGGGGGCACCCCCACCAGGGGGCCCCCCGGGGGCACTGTACCCTGTTTGGATTGGGGGCCCCTGGGGAGGGTCCTGGGGGGTGGGGGGCCCCCCTTTGAAAAGAAAAGAAAAGGCAGAAGAAGCAGCACGGGTGAAGGCGTTGCCTTCTGCTGCTGCTGCTGCTGCTGCTGGGCTCTGCTGCTGCTGCTGCTGCTGCTGCTGCTGCTGCTGCTGTGCTGCAGGGTGTGCCTGGGGGCCCCCTGCGTCTGCTGCAGAGGCCTCCAGCGCTGCTGCTGCCCTTGCAGCTGGGGCCTGGGGGCCCCCGCTGCTGCTCCCCGGGGCCCCCGTGCTGCTGGGGGGGCCCCCCGTGCTGCTGGGGGGGCCCCCCGTGCTGCTGGGGGGGCCCCCCGTGCTGCTGGGGGGGGCCCCCGTGCTGCTTTGGGGGCCCCCCGGGGGCCCCCTGATGGACATGCCTGAGAAGAGGGCCATGGTGGGGCTGCAGCAGGAGCGGGGTGTCTGTACACCTCAGCAGCAGCTTGCTGCTGCAGGGGCCCCCCAGCAGCTGCTGCTGCTGCTGCTGCTGCTGCTGCTCTGTGCGCAGATTTTGCTGCTGAGTCCTCCCTTGGGAGAAAAAAAGTAAATAAAAAAGAAAATAAAAAGAAATAAAACAAAGTTTGAATTTAAGTTTATTTAATTCAGCAGCTTGGGCTTGCGCAGACAAGCAGCAGCTGCTGCTGCTGCGTTTCCGGGGCTAAAAATAGTTCTTTTTTCGATTTTAATGGTTTTAAATGTTCTTTTCTTTTATTTAAATCAAAAAATTTGAAAAAAAATCAAAAAAAGATCCATTTTAGACAAACTTTCGTTCAAATTGCAATCTCACTTCTGCGGCGGAGTCGGCGGCGCCGCTCGCAGCAGCTTTTTATTTTATTAATTTAATTTAAATAATTAAATTAATTTATTTAATTTAATTTAATTTAAATAATTAAATTTATTTATTTTATTTTATTTTATTTTATTTTTACTTTTATTTTCCTTTTTGTTTTTTCATTTTATCGTTTTAATATTTTTTCCCTTTCCCAAGGGGGCCCCTTGAAGTCCAGCTTTATTAACTTTTCAAATCTTTACTTTTTATTTTATTCTTTTTATTTTATTTTTTTATTTTATTCTTTTCATTTTATTCTTTTATTTTATTTTTTCTTCTTTTTGTTTTTATTCTTCAATTAAAATGCTGCAGCTTTTCCTCATTTCCTTTTAAATCCAAAAGATGTTCCAGTACCTCTTGGGGGCCCCAAGGGGGCCCCCCGGGGACCCCCGGGGGCCCCTGGGGGAGTCCCCGGGGGCCCCCTGGGGGCCCCCATGGGTCCCGTGGGGGCCCCCTGGGGGCCCCCATGGGGCCCCAGAGAGGCCCTTGGGGCCCCCAAGGGGCCCCCGTGGGTCACTGGGGGCCCCAACAATACCCCGCAGTCTCTACGGTGGGCCTATTGGCCCTATGGGGCCCCCAAAGGGCCCCCAAGGGGCCCCCAAGGGGCCCCCCAGGGGCCCCCAAGGGGCCCCCAAGGGGCCCCCAAGGGGCCCCCAAGGGGCCCTCAAAGGGCCCCCAAGGGGCCCCCAAGGGGCGTTTTTATTATTTGGGGATCTTCTTTTCTTTAGGATTTCATTTTAATTTATTTTGAATTCTTTTTGAATTGGAAATTGGAGAAAAAACTCAAAAAATTTCTTTTTGTTTTTGGCAGTTTTTGTTATGAATAGATTTGGCTTGTAAAGGTTTAAAATGAATTTATAATTTATTTAAATAAATAATATAAATATAAATATATATATAAATATAAATATAAATATAAATTTAAATATAAATATAAATATAAATATAAATATAAATATAAATATAAATATAAATATAAATATAAATATAAATACAAATACAAAAGAGCAATTGCTGCTGAGGCCAGCGCACTTAGTTCATTATTTGTGTTCCCTTTCTTGCTGCTGCTGCTGCTGCTGCTGCTGCTGCTGCTGCTGCTGCTGCTGCTGCTGCTGCTCTCTTTGCAAGTTATGTATAATTTAGATTTTCATCATTTGTTACAAAGATGACCTGCTGCAGAAGCTGCAGCTGCTGCAGCTGCTGCTGCTGCTGCTGCTGCTGCTACAGCCTCTGGAGCTGCTGCAGCCGCTGCAGCTTCTGGATCTGCTGCAGCTGCTGCAGCTGCTGGATTTGCTGCAGCTGTTGGATCTGCTGCAGCTGCTGCAGCTGCTGCAGCTGCTGGATCTGCTGCAGCTGCTAGATCTGCTGCAGCTGCTGCAGCTGCTGCAGCTGCTGCAGCTGCTGCAGCTGCTACAGCTTCTGGAGCTGCTGCAGCTGCTGCAGCTGCTGCAGCTGCTGCAGCTGCTGCAGCTGCTGGATCTGGTGCAGCTGCTAGATCTGCTGCAGCTGCTGCAGCTGCTGCAGCTGCTAGAGCTTCTGGAGCTGCTGGATCTGCTGCAGCTGCTGCAGCTGCTGCAACTGCTGCAGCTGCTGCAGCAGCTGCAGCTGCTGCAGCTGCTGCCGCTGCTGCAGCTGCATGCATTCTTTTTTTCTTTGGTTTCCCCTTGAGCTGCTTCGGGTGTATGTGCACCAGGATTTAAAAGTTGTGTAAATTTAAAAGTCAATTTTGAATTAATTTTTAAAAATTACTTTTGCTGCTGCTGCTGCTGCTGCTGCTGCTGCTGCTGCTGCTGCACCTGCCAGTAGGGTCTCTTTGCGTGCTAACTAAATCTCTTTATTGGAACAAAAATTATTTTAATTTAAAAATTAATTATTTTTATTTTAAAATTAATTATTTTTACTTTTTAAAATTAATTATTTATTTCAAAATCGTCAATTTGGACGAAGTTGGGAAGCCCTTGGCTCCAGGTTTAAACCCCTTTTAAGGAAATCATAAATAAATAAATTTATATTTATTTAATTATTTAATTTGAAGTTTTTATTTATTTTAAATAAATAATAAAACGTTCTTCAAAATAAATAAATAAATAAATAAATAAATAAATAAATAAATAAATAAATAAATAAATAAATATAAATTTATTTGTTTATAAATTAAAATAAATAAAATTAAAATAAACAAAAGCGAAAGCGGGCGAAGACCCTGGGGTGTACGTACACCCGGAGTTACGAGAACTCGCCGCTGCGAAGCTGAATTTGGCCAAAAAGGCGAAATAAATGAAATTTAATGAAATTTAATGAAATTTAATGAAATTTAATGAAATAAAATGAAATAAAATGAAATAAAATGAAATAAAATGAAATAAAAATGAAAATAAATCATAAAAGTGAATTAAAATGGCATTTAAACCAAAGAAATGCAAAATGGAAGAACTCGAGAGGCTGCATGCATGCAGATCTGCGTCGATTGCCTCTTTGCTGCGCGTCCAAAAGCCCTTTAAAGTCTTTTTATTTATTTATTTATTTATTTATTTTTATTTATTTATTTTATTTATTTTTTATTTATTTATTTATTTATTATTTAATTTGGTGCATTTAACTCCCCTTTGCGAGTTTTCCCCCCAGAACCCCTGGGAGCAGTTTCTGGAGCGGCGGGATCGCGTTTTTCGAATTCAAATGCAATTTGTTTCGTTTTTCGCGATTTTAAATGCAATTGATGCAAATTAAAAGAATTTAAATGAAATAATTCGCCAAAAGGCGCCAAAGTTTGCAAAAAAAGGAGAAAAAACAGCAAATTCCGCGAAGAACTCGACGCGCACACCGCGCCGGACCAGTGGCGCTGCCTGCGGCTCTCCCGCGTCAGCGGAGTCGATTTGAGTGAATTTCGCGCGTTTGAGTCGAATTAAAGGAATTTAAAAGAGTTTAAATGAATTAAAACGAATTAAAGGAATTAAATTGAATTAAATTGCGTTGAAACGGGCGAAATTGCGCGAAAATTGGCGAAAAAACGACCCGTTTCCGCTGCTGCGCCGTTTGCCCGTGCGCGCTGCAACGGGCGCTGGCTTTCCTTTTAATTCTTTTCAATTTGTGGAATTGAATTTAAAAATAAAAAAAATTCAAAAAAATGAATTCAATCGAAACACACTCTTTGAATTTCGCTGCGGTTCCGCGGGGCGCAGCTGCATGCGTGGCTGGCAAGTCGGGGGCGGCGCGGCGCGGCTTCCCGGGCTCTAAATTTGTTTTTTTTTCGCAATTTCGGAATTAAAAACATTAAAAGTGAATTTAAAATCCAAAAAGATCCAAAAAAAGTGTTTTTGGCGGCTGGGAGGGGCCGGGGGTGTGCGGGGGCCTTGCGGTGTTGTTTCGGGTGTACGTACACCTCCGGCTGGCGGTCTGCCGCCCCCGGGACTTCTCCGCGCGTCCGTTTTGCGGCATTTGTTGTTTATTTATTTTTAATTTCTTTTTATTTAAAAGTGATTTGTGATTGTGCAGCTTCGAGGCGAAGTGCCGGGGAGGTTTCGCTGAACTTCGGGTGTCTGGACAGCTCGCGCGCCCGGCGCGCCCGCCGCGGGAAACTTGAAAGTTGAACATTTCCGATTTTTCTTCTTTTTGCGTCAAATTTGAACTTATTTTCATTCTCTTTCTCTTTTAAACTTCTTTTTTTGAATTTTATTTCCATTTTGAGCCTTTTTTCGCCGCTTTACACATGCGATTCGTCAGTTCCAGAGGCTCCCCCCGCCTCTACACCTTTTCGCAGGCGGCCATAGCGGGTGTGTCCGGGGGAATAAATTCATTGATTAAATTTATTAATTTAATTAATTTAATTTATTTAATTTATTTAATTGGATTTAATTCATTTAATTCATTTAATTGCATTCAATTCGTTGGACTTATTCAATTTTATTTAATTCATTTCTTTCATTTATTTGATCATTTGACCCTCCCAGCTCTCTTAATTTATTTTCAATTTCCATCATTTTCAACTAACCAAAAATATCTTTTAAAATTAATTTCTGCTCTTCATTTCTTCTCAAACAGTTCGTTTGCTGGCGTCAATAGCCGTTTAAAACCCTAAACCCTAAACCCCAAACCCTAAACCCTAAACCCTAAACCCTAACCCTAAACCCTAAACCCTAAACCCTAAACCCTAAACCCTAGTGGTGTTTGCAGGGGTGGCTGACGACGGGGGTCTTCTTTTGCCGGCTTTTATTCCGGAGGTTTCTTCTGAAATTCAAGAAGGGTGGAAGTAGGTGTCTGTACACCTCAGCGTTTTGTGGGGTGGAAGCAGGTGTCTGTACACCTCAGCGTTTTGTGGGTTTTTGAGTTTTCGGTTTTTCGGAAATTAAAAATTTAAATTCCTTTTTAATCCTTTTGAAGCTGCAAATGAATTAATTAAAACTGCAAAACAAATACAATTGCATATTTAAATTAAAATTAAAATTAAAATTAAAATTAAAATTAAAATTAAAATTAAAATTAAAATTAAAAATTAAATTCAACTTTTGCGTCTTTTCGAAAACGTGCATATAAGTTGGGGTGTACGTACACCCCGAACACCGCAAAAGCAGCAAAAAAACCCGCAGTCAAATGCACCGCCTTTTTATTATTTATTTATTTATTTATTTATTTATTTATTTATTTATTTATTTATTTATTTATTTATTTATTTATTTATATTATATTTATTTATTTATTTATCATTTATTTGTTTTAGGCGTTTGTCCTTTCCTGCACTGCTGGAGCGCATTTTGCAGCTGTTCATCGACGCCGACGGTAACAAAAAATAAATCTTTTTAAATTGAAATTATTATTTATTTATTTATTTATTTATTTATTTATTTATTTATTTATTTATTATTAATTAATTTATTTATTTATTTATTATTTACTTAAATTAATTAATTAACTAATTCGTTTTTAATTAGGGGATGTTTAATTCACTTAACCACGGTTGAACGCGCCAAGAGCGGCCTCCGTGCTGCTGCTGCTGCTGCTGCTGCTGCTGCTGCTGCTGCTGCTGCGCTGCTGCTGCTGCTGCTGCTGCTGCAACTAGAGCAGTTCTTTGGCTGCGTTCTTTGCATTTTCCTCAGAAGGCCCTTCTGCAGCTTCTTCAGAACTCTCCGCAGCTCTTCCTTCTCTCTTGAGAAGTATTTTCGAAAAAATCCAAAAAGATAAATTAAACACAAAAGTCTTCCGACTTCAGAGGGTCCAGCACCATTCTCGGGAGACTGTGGGGCCCGGGGGGCCCCCCGAGGGTACTGTGGGGGCCCCCTCGCCGGGGGGCCCCCCTGGGAGCCCCGCGGGGGGCCCCCCGGAGGGTGCTGGGGGGGGGCCCCCCAGCGGGGGCCCCCAAGAGGGTACGGGGGGGGGGGCCCCCGGGGGGCCCC